TTTGTTTGTTATCGTTTAGTGCGAAACGGAACAATACGAGACGTTGGAATTTAGAACAATAGTCTATGAAAAAGAAAAAAAAATAGCAATATTGATTTTTTTTTTCCATTTCATAGACTATTGCTTGAAATCTATAGGATATCATATTCCATTCCATTTCATAGACTATTGCTTGAAATTTCTAGAATACCATTTCATAGACAATAATTAATAAGGTTGAGGTTAACCGATTGGTTTTTGGATTTTTGGTGGTTATGTTCAAATCTCTTTTTGTTTGATGCTGCTTTCTGCTCTTTAGGTCCGATTATATTATTTTTTACTTCTGTTGGTGCTTCATCCGGTAAGTTGTCTTCCTCCTTGTTGCTACATATCTGGACAGTTTGGGATCTGCCATTTGTAGTTTTCTATATTGGCATGGTTCTTGATAAGCTCTTTGCCGTCGTCTTTGGTATGTTTATGAAGACTCAAGTTTACCCTTTGTTTGTTGAGGTATAATTGTTTTCAATAGGAAGTTAGAATGGTGTGTCTTTGTGGTTGTCTTGCTTTTAGGCTTGTTTGTTTCGGTTATTAGCATTGATTCAGTTATTTTTTCAGCGTGGTAGACCGTGAATTTTGTAATTTTTATTTCGTTTTCGTCTTTTGATTTATTTATATTTATGTTCTGATCATTAAAAAATAAAAGAGAAAATAGGGTTGATAGCAAAGAAATTAGGATTAATTAGGAAAATAACAAAAAAAACTTTAGCAATATCTCTATTGTTTTGCAAAAGAATTCCTATTTTTTGTCATTTTTCTAATTTCTATTTAATTTTTTTTTTGTTATATAGCAAATTAACTTTAAAAATTAGAGAGCATGATGTTGATGGCAGAAAAACAAGTTTTTTTTTCTATTTATTATAAAAAGGTATTTCCTCCGTACAAAGAACTTATCCATGTGAACGTGGCCTTGTTCGACTCCATGTCTCTTGGGGATATGTCCCACCATTACCTTTGAGAGGTGAAAAGTCAATGTATCGGCATCGCTACTAATATAATTATTCGTGATTCTGCTTAGATGGAATTTAGTAATAACCAGCACAGCTTATTGATAAGCCCTATTGATTATGACAATTTGGTAGATGAGAAAGACGTTGAAGTAATAACTTATTAACTTCTATACAAAAGACGTTGACGTTATATTACAGAACCAAGTTATATATATATATAGTAGTTCTATAATTTTGAATATTGAAAGTTAATTTTAGTTTGGTGGTATTTTGAAACATTTACTAACTAGCTAATAGTATTTTTGAAACATTTAAAATAGTGATATTTTTGGAAACAAAATTTTAAAGTGTAGTATTTTTGAAAATTGTNCAGTTATCTATTATAAAGTGGTAAATTTTATAATTTTATTCTATATATGTATTTTCTGAAACTTAAACACATATTTAAATTAAAATTGGAAATTTATGATAGATTTGTAAATTTTAAAAACACTAAAAATCCAGAAACTAATTTCGGATGAATCTTTATTTAATTTTAAATTGTGTTGTTAGACGTTAATGTCTACATCTACCGGCTGATTGCAGCAAAACAATGGGGATAATTGGTTGGAACTTTAAAATTTTTTGGCTGTAAACTTAAAAAAAAAAATTACTGTAAAAACTTTTACTTTTTAATATATAACTGTGATTTAAAAAAAAAACAAAGTCAGATTTTATAGACTTTAAAAAAAAGTGTCGAACAAAGATCAAAAAATAAAGAAATAGGCTGTGAGAATTTGGAGGAATTTTAGAATTTTTAAAACTTTTAAATCAATAAAGTGTGATTGGGTAAATTATAACTTTAAAAACTTTTTAAAAAAATTAAAATCTTTATAGTTTTAAAAGTTTGTTTGCCAATCACTTCCAATGACTTTTTCTATTTAATCAAAAAAAAGAAAAAGAAAAAGACAATGACTTTTGCATGAGTGTTATAATGTATTACTTGGACGAAAGTATATTCACATCTTCGCCTCGCTGTATGTATGCATTTGCGCATTAGTTAGTTTAGTCTGTTATACCACGCACACGTTATCTGACGTCAGTC